GCAGAAACCACTGCAATTATCAACTTCAGCCACAACTGCTGCAGTTGTAAACTGTTGCAGAAACCACTGCAATTATGAATTTCAGCCACAACCGATGCAGTTGTCAACTGTTGCAGAAACCACTGCAATTATCAACTTCAGCCACAACTGCTGCAGTTGTCAACTGTGGCAGAAACCACTGCAATTATCAACTTCAGCCACAACTTCAGCCACAACTCTGCAGTTGTCAGCTGTTGCCGAAACCACTGCAATTATCAACTTCAGCCACAACTGCTGCAGTTGTAAACTGTTTCAGAAACCACTGCAATTATGAATTTCAGCCCCAACCGCTGCAGTTGTAAACTGTTGCAGAAACCACTGCAATTATCAACTTCAGCCACAACTGCTGCAGTTGTCAACTGTTTCAGAAACCACTGCAATTGTCAACTTCAGTCACAACTGCTGCAGTTGTCAGCTGTTGCAGAAACCACTGCAATTATCAACTTCAGCCACAACTGCTGCAGTTGTCAACTGTTGCAGAAACCTTTGCAATTATCAACAACAATTATATTATTTGAGAGATTTGATCTTTATTTCACAGATATTACTTGGTTCCATCAGAAGAGTTCAACAATGACATTCAAGAGATTGCTCTCTGCTGTTATGCCAGAAAAAAAGAAGATGTGAGCTCTGTTGACTTTACTTTTAAACTAGGCTACCTTCAGGTAAAGTTATAACTAATTTTTAATTTCAATAGTTCAACGTTTTATTGGATTGTGATTTCACAGTTGAATCAAAGCACATATCCAAGGCAGAATTTGACCTGTCAACAAACAAGCTGCTCTCTGATTGGTCTGATTGTTAAATGTCAGGGTTGATTCAAATTTGCTGCTCTCTGATTGGTCTGATTGTTAAATGTTAGGGTTGATTCAAATTTGCTGCTCTCTGATTGGTCTGATTGTTAAATGTTAGGGTTGATTCAAATTTGGTGCCAGTTTCAACAATTCAGCTTTTACAGCTTAATAAATGTTAACAATTGCATAAATATTTTTCAGCATATCCAATAGAGGCACATGTGAGCCCAAAATGTTTGCTTTTATGGGATTGCTTTTATCAAAATTCATTTATCCTAACAGGTCTTTTACATAAGCAATGTTTCACATATTTACTATAGGTGTCTCCCTGTAGACGATGTTTACTATAGGTTTCCCCATAGTCAATGTTTGCTATAGGTCTCCCCATAGACAATGTTTGCTATAGGTTCCCCCATAGATTTTGTTTACTATAGATCTCCCCATAGATGATGTTTACTATAGGTCTCCCCATAGATGATGTTTACTATAGGTCTCCCCATAGATGATGTTTACTATAGGTCTCCCCATAGATTTTGTTTAATTTAGGTCTCCCCATAGATGATGTTTACTATAGGTCTCCCCATTGATGATGTTTACTATAGGTCTCCCCATAGATGATGTTTACTATAGGTCTCCCCATTGATGATGTTTACTATAGGTCTCCCCATAGATGATGTTTACTATAGGTGTCCCCATAGATGTTGTTTACTATAGGTCTTCCCCATAGATTTTGTTTAATTTAGGTGTCCCCATAGATGATGTTTACTATAGGTGTCCCCATAGATGTTGTTTACTATAGGTCTTCCCCATAGATTTTGTTTAATTTAGGTGTCCCCATAAATGATGTTTGCTATAGGTCTCCCCATAGATTTTGTTTATTATAGGTGTCCCCATAGATGATGTTTACTATAGGTCTCCCCATAGATGATGTTTACTATAGGTCTCCCCATAGATGATGTTTACTATAGGTCTCCCCATAGATTTTGTTTAATTTAGGTGTCCCCGTAGATGATGTTTGCTATAGGTCTCCCCATAGATTTTGTTTAATATAGGTGTCCCCATAGATGATGTTTACTATAGGTCTCCCCATAGATTCTGTTTAATATAGGTCTCCCCATAGATGATGTTTACTATAGGTCTCCCCATAGATGATGTTTACTATAGGTCTCCCCATAGATTTTGTTTAATTTAGGTCTCCCCATAGATGATGTTTACTATAGGTCTCTCCATAGATGATGTTTACTATAGGTCTCCCCATACATTTTGTTTAATATAGGTGTCCCCATAGATGTTTACTATAGGTGTCCCCATAGATGATGTTTACTATAGGTGTAATAGATGATGTTTACTATAGGTGTAATAGATGATGTTTACTATAGGTCTCCCCATAGATGATGTTTACTATAGGTCTGCCCATACATTTTGTTTAATATAGGTGTCCCCATAGATGATGTTTACTATAGATGTCCCCATAGATGTTTACTATAGGTGTCCCCATAGATGATGTTTACTATAGGTGTCCCCATAGATGATGTTTACTATAGGTCTCCCCATAGATGATGTTTACTATAGGTCTCCCCATAGATGATGTTTACTATAGGTCTCCCCATAGATGATGTTTACTATAGGTCTCCCCATAGATTTTGTTTAATTTAGGTCTCCCCATAGATGATGTTTGCTACAGGTCTCCCCATAGATGATGTTTACTATAGGTCTCCCCATAGATGATGTTTACTATAGGTCTCCCCATAGATGATGTTTGCTACAGGTCTCCCCATAGATGATGTTTACTATAGGTCTCCCCATAGATGATGTTTACTATAGGTCTCCCCATAGATGATGTTTACTATAGGTCTCCCCATAGATTTTGTTTAATTTAGGTCTCCCCATAGATGATGTTTGCTACAGGTCTCCCCATAGATGTTTACTATAGGTCTCCCCATAGATGATGTTTACTATAGGTCTCCCCATAGATGATGTTTACTATAGGTCTCCCCATAGATGATGTTTGCTACAGGTCTCCCCATAGATGATGTTTACTATAGGTCTCCCCATAGATTTTGTTTAATTTAGGTCTCCCCATAGACAACAATGTAAACACTTGAAGACATAGAACCAATGAGTCAAGTAACCAACAAGTTTATAAAATTTGTTTTGGTTTTTAAGGTCTAATGGTTAACAGCATCATCACATATGTTGAAATTTCAAAAAATAATTCAACTACACTGGTATTGGCAATATTAGAAAAGTTGATCCAGTTGACTAAAATAATAATAATAATAATAATAATAATAATAATAATAATAATAATAATAATAATAATAATAATAATAATAATAATAATAATACTTTATGAATCTGAACATCTTATATCAATGTTCACATGTTCAATCAGTATAAGTATATGGATGAAATGTGTTTTGAACACACATGCTCATGACTGCCCTTTAAAAGTGTTAGTCTTAGTTTTGATGTCACATGTATGACAATTTTCATGCAATATGTCTGTTGTTACCTTTCAATTATTTTTCTTTTCTTTCTTTCATTTCTAATAATAATAATAATAATAAACAATGTAAAAAGCAAAATACATGTCAAAAACAACATGCAAATAAAAGAAAAAGAAATCATGGATGAGAAAGTTCTGGACTTCTTTTTATTTATTATTTCCCAAATCCTTATTGATTGCCCATAATGCATTACTCTAAATGTATCAGTCTGCGCAAACCTAAGACTTGCTTATTCTTGTATCATAATAAGTTAAACAGTTTGAAATACAGACATGCCATTCCTTGCAAAGAGTTGTTTACAAAATAGAGAGAAATTCCAATTGTGGTGTGAAACCATTAGTGACACCATTACTCAGTTTTACATTGTTATTGCATCATGCTGAAAAACTTGTTTATAGTTAACAGTAGCATTTTTTTTTTTTTTAATTTCTTACAGATTGTCAATCCTATATCTTTGATTAATAACTCTAAAGAGGTCAGTGACCTTCAGTTGAGTGATGACCAGTGGACTGAATCAACTGATGCTGACAGGAATGCCCTTGTTAGTGGAACATTGAAATGGAATTACCCATCAACCTCTGGTGTCCATTTTAATATATTCTGTGTTGGACTCAAAACAGATCCCCATGACAACACTGAAATTGACACGTCATCCAGAGTTTTTATTGGTCAAGCATTTGTTAACATGTACAGAATTTGTGATCTATGCGTGTCAAGTGGAAAGGCAGATACACCATATAGTTTCAAAGTGATTGTACAGCCTGTCAATAATGCTGGTTTCACAACGCCTTTCAAAAATTGCTCAACTCTTACAGTGAATCATACTTTATGAATCTGAACATCTTATATCAATGTTCACATGTTCAATCAGTATAAGTATATGGATGAAATGTGTTTTGAACACACATGCTCATGACTGCCCTTTAAAAGTGTTAGTCTTAGTTTTGATGTCACATGTATGACAATTTCCATGCAATATGTCTGTTGTTACCTTTCAATTATTTTTCTTTTCTTTCTTTCATTTCTGTGAGCTAAATACATTCTTTGTGTACAAATGTTTTTTGGGAGGGATCTTTTACGAAATATGTGCTGAGGTTTATTGCACCGATTAATCTATGTTGTAGTAGTTTAAACTTGCAGAAATCTACACTAGAGTCGGCGAAGACACGTTTATCACTATAAATATATTTATACAAGTTTATAAACTCAATTGTTTTCATTTGAAATCAGCCTTATTCAAATTCAAATAAAACAATTGGCTAGGTATATCGTGAAGCTATCACACATCAATGCAGAGGCGGTGACCCAATATTTTGCATTGGGGGGGGGGGGGGGTCTGCTCACCACCTCGTGTCGACCTTACTAGGGGGTCCGGGGGCATGCTCCCCCTTAACAAATTTGGAATCTAGACTCTCTGAAACACCATTTTTTGCATTTTGAAGGGCACAAAGGGTTTCAGTTTGACTTTGGAGGGCCCTCCCCCCAATTTTCTTCCAGTGGGCGTATTGCCTATATCCAAAAAGAGAAATGAAACAATATGTCTGTTTTAATTTAGGATGGCTCCTACCACAGTCCCTCTATCCCCGGTCTTGACACACCTCACTTTCTATTGTTCTATCTGTCAGTACAATTTCTCTAGTACAAGGGCATCTGATTTTATTATTACAATGCAGTGCTATGTAGCATTACTATAATTGATAAAAGATGTAATATGTAAATCTGCAGCTTTTGGGGCTTTAAAATAGAATTTGTATAAGAACAGACACAAAATTAGTACAAGTGTTTGCAGTGTGTATGTGTGTGTGTGTGTGTGTGTGGGGGGGGGGGGGTTAATAATATAGAATATACATGTACCATATTTCTCTACCGGTATTATAAACACATCTTTAATAGATTTAGTGCACATAAATGAAAAAAAACCTTATTGTATGATATTAATATATAACTTATTTTGACTGTGGACACATTTCTGTCATTTTTGCATATGCTATTAATAAAGCAAATACTGTAGTACTTTATTGTTCTTGTAAGGGAAATTTTAGACTGGCAAAGTTGGGACTTCTTTTTTGTTTTACAAAAAGAAATAATTAATTGTTGTTTTAGTTCTTTTAGCGTGATCGCGAAAACTAACCTGACCGCTGAAGAAATCCTGACTGTACGCGTCTGCGAGTACTTGACTGATATTAATTATTCATGATGTCATTGATTATTTATGAGTGGGTGTCTGAAACTAAACGTGATCTTTTAAAGGTTGATTCGATTCGATGCAGAGATGGATACTTTCATTCATGTTTACTGAAAACATGTTGATTTAAATGTCCAATGTATATAAGTAGTCTTTCAAAATCGCCGGGACCTCAAAAGTGAAAGGTCACGTACATTAACATAGATAAGATATAACGTATACAGCTGCACTTTGATTCGTTGTCAATGCCAGTTAACATCTTTTGATTAGCTTAATTACCGAAGTAATTCGGCTCTGGTTTTCACTCCAACGCAGGGATCGAGTCGCCTGCAGATGCGTCCAGTTCGCAGTCACGCTAGTTTTCGCGTTCAGGTTAAAAAGGATAAATTGACAATTAATTATATTTTTTTTTTGTAAAACAAAAAAGTAGTCCCGACTTTGCCAGTCTAGGGAAATTTCTATGTTATCTTTTCCATTTTGTTGCAATGGTATTGAAGCTATTCACCTATTTTTGTGAAATAAACTTGAATCTTGAATTTTCAAGGAATAATGTTCCCACCAAGTACCTCTACATCTTCATGGAGATAGGGATGAATGAATATGAAACTGCGCAAGCAGACAATGCATAACTGGAGAGTGACCTAATGTATTTGCAGTGTCAGTGAAACAAGGTTGTAGATGTTATGGTACTGTGAATTTTATGATGACATGTCTTTGTAATATTTTAATATTTAGAAATGTTTTATCAATTTCAATTGACAATTGAAAACAACTTGACCAATCACTACATATTTAGGGACATGCAGCAGTAAATCATCCAATGACTAAAGGAAGCCCACAAAGACTTGTGGGTGACGAGCATTAACAAATGGGTTCTAAAGCCAATGGAAGCATCATTTTGGGATCTGAATGGAGTATGAGGATCTTCCAGGGTAAATGTTTTTGTAGATATAAATTTTCGTAAAAGCTGTTCATGTCTTCATTAAATTGATAGTACAATGGAGGTTGAAATATTAAGTTATAAAGTAAACATATGTAATGTTTTTAAGATCATGATTCTGTATTCACATTATGCGTATATGTAATTTTTTTAAAATATGAAGTGGAATAAAGTTAAAATAGTTTCATAATTTGCCTTGGTAATATTATTGTAGTGGAAAGTTCTATGGGTATGGGTTTCATTAATGATTAGACTATCAATTCTTTGTAATTACTGATCAAAAGAAAGGTGTTATAGCCAGTTACTTACCAGATGGCACCTCAAAAGTTTTGTGCTTGGTATTTAAAGATAGTATTTTTACTAGTCCAAGCTTCAGGCAGGTGATGTACCGGTACCAACATTTAATTATATTGTTTTGGGCTTGTTTTATCAGGATAGGGCAAAGGTCACACTCTTTACCCATTCAAAAAAAGACCCCAGATATTATGAAACATTTACAGCAGTCTCTATATGCATTGTACTGAAAAGTTGTTATCTGAGGAGTTTTTAAAATTAATCACTTTTATTTTGGCCTTTCTGATTATGTGATTGCATGTTTTCTTTCTCAGAAACCGTCCAACATTTCACTATATTCTTTAAAACAGTTCAACTTGGTAGTCGTCAACCCTCTGAGTAAAGTTAATGAAACTTAAAAGTAAAAACTAATAGTTTGAATACTTAATAACAGGGTGGCATACTCACACCCCACCTCACCTCACCTTTCCCAATCTTGTATCTTGTTCATAGTAAATGAGGAAGGACCTGAACTGGGTTGGAGTTGGAAGAACTGGTTAATGCGTCTATCTCTCGTTGATTTTCAATAACTGAGCAAATTAAAGCAGTCGTCAGATGGCCATAGCGTGTCATTGTTTACAAACAAGCGGCAGGTGATGACCCAATTGCTTTGAAGTTTTGCTCAACTTGTAAATATAATACTTTATTAATTTGGGGTGACCCATTTGAAATCTGGAAGTGAGCTGTACCTGAGAGCATGTATGAATGTTATACCCCTCCCCCTATAGGTGTGTGTTTTTTGGAATTTCTGTTTAGAAAAAAAAAATATTTTCTTACTAATATTACCTAATAATTTTTACCTTGATTTTGTTTTTTTCCAAAATTTGCCAGCCCGGCCATATTTCAAACAAGTAACCCCTTAAATATGACTATTATCTTTTTATAAGTTTTATAAGATTTGTAGATACTCAAAATGTTTATTTCGTCTTTTCAAATAAAAAACAAACAAACAAACAAATATTTGTTACCAGTCATGTATTAAAAAAAACCCGTTGTAATGACGCGTAATACATGTTTTCATCAACACATAAAAGAAGTGTTACTTCCTGTGAATACGCCCTCTGTAGTCACATAGTCACGATGACCTGTCTTCGATCGAAAGATCTGGACTGAACGCGAACTGTCTGGATTCAAAATGATTTTCTGACCAGTACTCAACAGACTGTCCGTCATACAACAGTTTTCGTTTATTATATTACACACTATCATACAAATAATATTTTGAGTAAGTATTTTTCAACTGTTATTATGCCAGTTTCTTTGATATTTCTACTGTTTTCTGTTTGTTTCTACCGTTTACCGCTGGCTGCCATTTTGTTTCCTCGTGAATGTTTAACCTTGGTGAGTTAGTAATTTTATAAAACTGCTAATTTTGTCTTAGTTTATCATCACGTTTAATGTTAAAATCGACAGTGATTTAACCCAACGACACTATAGAACATACCTGGATATGTGTACGCTGTGTGTAGTTATGCTGTAGTGTTATTTATGTGGTGTCTATTATTATTGCGACACTTTGCATTGCGATATCCGATACTCCCACATTTAATTCGTTATCATGATTATTATGCACATGATACAGCAAGATGTTGGTTACACGTCCACAATATACGATCACAATAAGAAAGTGTGAAATTATGTTATAATATGATCTAATATTCTATATTAATTAAACATTCCAGCCCAGTCCATGGATCTGGTAACGATGATAGTGTTAGGGTTTAGTCGCTAGGACTTACAAATTACAGATAATAATGCTAAGAACTGTAGATCACAATTTAAACATGTATAGCAGTGGTGTAGGGTTACATTTTATGGTATGCTTGATCTAAAACTGAATGTGAATTTCCTCTCAAAATCTGATTATAACCTAAACCAGGTTCACACATTCGTCAGAATTTCGTAATAATTTTGGAAAAAATATTATATGATTATTATATGTAACTGAATGATATTTTTAAACGTGCAACACCTTTTACCATAAAAACCAATGGCAAATTGCTAAACAATTGCCATTTTCATGGGTATTTGACACATAATTATTAGTGCCAAGAGAAGTTTGGTGACCAGATTTTGTGAGTAACAGCATTATATTTATTTACTTATTGACACTTACACAATCCCCGGAAAGGAAGAAAATATATTAAATAACAAAATATATAACAAAATATAATCATTAAAATACTAAATAATACCAAATCAATCACTAAAATACCAAATAATATAAGATTACTAAAATGACAGCAGGCATTAAGATGTCAAGTAAGACCTTGCTTCCTAAGAATAAAGCCATATGGTAGAACTCATGACCAGAAGTTTTAGTGGTAGCCAATTACCTTAAGGACCCCCCCCCCCCCCCCAAATAGCCAACTAATGGTCTATTTCTTGCTGTGCTGACGCCCAAACACAAAACATGTTTACCCCTGGTATGTATTTTTGGCTCAGTTGTTGTAGTAACTGTGTAGGTATTTAACTTTATTGATATTGTAACATTGTAACGCTAGATTCTTGTCACAAGTCAGAACAAAGAAAGTTTGAATTTTCATAAGATCTGGGTGTGGGTATATCGTGTAAATACATGTTTACATAAATATACTGGTATATGGTATTAGAGTGTAACCGTTGCCATTAAATAATCTCAAACTCAAACCGTTGCCAACTGTGTCTGTAACATGTTTGTGCGATTTAACAGACCATACATTTATGAATGAATCATGGCTGCATGACAAATATTGTATGTTGCTTATTATTTAAAAAAAAATGTCACTTGCTTGAAAATTTTGCTTTTACATCCATAATTAGGTAATATTTCCATGACGTCACCAACCTGACAGTTAACCAAATGGCTTATCACCGGATGTACCGCACAAACAATTTTCTGTTGTGTTTACCAGAGATTGGATAAGTTGTGCAGTCAACCAATTCAAAAATTGTTTGTTGCCTTATTTACCAAGTTATTGTCAATGACCCTTGATGACTGTCATGACCTTAGGATTGTATTGTTCAACGTCTAGATAGTGCATGTAGTAACATTGTTCAGTTTATGATTCTTAACGTGAAACAAATATTTTGTGCTACATTGGTTGTGAAATATTCTTTGAAATTATGACTCAACTATTTTAACCTGGGTTGAATCATATACATTTGTATTGTTCTAAGTAAGTGTTGTCTGGCTATATACGTTATCTCAGTCATTGTATACATACATGTAGGGCCATGTGTGAAGTTAAGTGTTCAATCAAACCTACAAAGCTCGCATGTCAGTGGCCTCTGTCTGGCAAGTTTGAAATTATACTTAAATATATAAAATTGTCTTTTTTTTGGCAATATTAATTAGTGACAGACCACCTGACTAAGTTTTAAAACCAAGTTAGGAAAAGGAAAGATTTCTATTGATTTTGTGATATTTTATCAATGTTGTTGCGTATGTGGACAAAGTCCATTCACTTTGCGGCAACCAAGGTATTTTTGACATTCATTCACCCTCAAATAGCTTTGATAAATATGTCGGGCCCATCATTTAGAGCGTGAAAGCAGTCAGATCATTTGTTAAAATAATTACCATCCACTATAAATAATGGTTTATTTGTTAAACCAAAGTAAAATTCACTATGTGTGTTAGCTAAGGAATACATTCATGTTTTATTTAACAAGTGAATATGGTGGTAAATTTGATCTGCTACCATGGAAGACGAAGTAAAAAAATAAATTCTAGGTCTCCTGTATGTTTGACTACATGCCTACCATTATTTTTAGTTGCCACTTTTCAGGTGGGTTAGTAAAATAACCCATCCCATAAAACCTTACATTTTTGTGTAACATTTGAAGAACTGAGGAACGCTATAACCTGTGCTGTATAGAGACCAGTTATTGAAATGGCTACTATGACATTTGAAATGAAAAGGTCAAGTAAAATAAACTGTAAGGCGTCCAGATATATCACCTGCCAGACTTTTTTTTTTTCATTTTTGTAAAAGTATTTTTAGGTTTGATGGAGATATTTTGTCTAACTTGGTTGTTGTAATTCCTAATCCCTAATCCTGCACTCTTAAGGGGTATTGCTCATTGCAACTGTGTGCAGTTTTATGACGTTTGTATAAATAAACATATACAATACAAGTATATGTTGCTATGTGTATTGAATGTTCATGTACCACCACTTTTGATTATTTGGAGATCCGGTTATTGTTATTCCAGATCATTTGAATTGTACTAAAATGCTCTATGTAGAAAAAGTCTGAATAAACAAACAATAATTGTCTACAGTTAGAGACATTTATTAAAACAAATTTTTTTTTTTTTGCACACAACCATACTCAAAAAGAACAGAACCTACTCCCAGTAGCATACAATGTACATGTACGTACAAATCTGTGAAAATGTGTTGCTAGACAAAATTGTAACAGCTTCTGCCTCATCCATATTGTTTTCGATAGCAATAATGCCAGCTTGGTTGCTGGCTAGTTTTTTATGCACATCTCAAGACTGTTACAGACCATAATGTGATTATTAAAACTGGTTTGATCAAACTATTTTAACAAGAGTGTGCTGTTTGGCTAAATGCGTGCAGCAAACTAGTAACTCAAACTGTATTTACCAGGTAGTAGCATTTTTCTACTCACTAGCAACTGTGTCCTGCACATCAGATGCATCAGTACATATACTGTTTAATTTATAGTTTTCTATTTGTTATACGTCAGTTTATACAATTGGGTGAGGTAAATTGAATGTGAATTTCTGATTTTATCTATATTCAACATGTCCCTCAGTAATAGTTTGAGGTCTCCTATTGATGTTGAGTTGACCCAACTTGCTTCAATCACATAATGAATTTGAGATTTGCCTACATGGAGCAAATCAGTCAGCAATTTTGCTAGCAATGTCACCATTTTTGTATTCGAAAAATATGCTGACAGTAAAAATAAAGTCATCTGCAATACTAATTGACTTTCTGCGCATGTTAATTCTTAGATCATGTAGATGTATGGTAGATATAAAAGGATGAAACACAAAGAGAAAAACTATTAAGAAATTTAGTTGCTTACTTTTCTATTGTCTAATGTCGCAATTCATTTTGTTAAGTAAAATGATGTTTTGATAAGTAATGGTTTCACTTTCATTATAACATTGTCTGACACAAGAATGCTGCATGTGTGACTAGAATTTTGTTGTTCCTCAAACAAAATTTGCAACTACAGTACATGAATTTTGTTTTATACATGTACATGTGCAAATAATTTCTAATTACCGGTGACAATAGTTCTGTTGTCAAACTATTATTAACTTAAATCTAAATTCTCTTTGCTATTTGCAAATTCATCTTGGGACAAGCAAACGTCATATTTGACATAGGTGAACACATAATCATTCTACAGTATGTCTTCTCAATGGGATCAAAAATTTGATATGGTCCCCCAGAAATGGTTATGTATACAGGAGATTTCTGGTAACACAAAACATCTCTTCATTTATCCTTGCCATTTCTGACAAGGTTTTCATTTTTAGGGAATCAAAATTGCAGTGAAATCCCATAACCTAAATACTATTCTTGTAGTTTTATACGAGTTACATGTCTGTAAGATGGCATATGTACTACAAATTCAGCATAACGAATTGATGTATTGTATTTTTCACAGTCTATTTGAGCCATATGAAATTAAAATTAGTTTTATAAATTTCTAGTCTTTGTTAATGTCACCAACTGAATCCAGAATTTGTTTTTTAAATTTGTATAAATAATACTAATTTTCTTGCCTTTTGCAGATTTAAAATGGCAGAAAACAACATTCCTAAGGTGATACTTGTGTTTGACCGCTGGACCCTTGGTCAGACTGGATTACCAGCATATCATGTCAAATTTGCATGTGAATTGGCCAAAAAAAAGAAAGGTCTACTACAAGTTTATGCTACTGTTGTTGAAATAACTCCAGAGGAAAAGGCAGATGCTGAAAAATCTGGAGTACATATATTTGAACCAGTTGTACGGCCACATCTTATATCAAAACCTAATCCTGACTGGCTGTTACAGCATGAGTCATTCTTCCCGCAGTTTACTCCTCTTAAAAACGTGCGTTACCTTGTTGGGTATAACCCTGCTACAGCTGATCATACTGAAGACATTCGTAACATCAGATTCCCTTATGCCAAGGTCTACTATGTCAACAAGAATTTCCCAAAAGACTGCAGTGACTTAGAGTCACCATCTGCTGAAATTGAGAAGTTAGTAGAACAGATGGACATATGGAACAAGGAGTTTGAGGCAACACCACCTCCTGAAAGAGTGGAAGAGCCACCCCGCAAGAGATTCAGGGGTGCAGAACCAGAAGATAAGAATTCCCTAGTTAATCTTATTCGGTTTCTGCACCGGTATCATCCTGATTTTATTCCAGCTTTCTGTGCACGGTATGGACTAAAGGTGACCATAACCCCTCCACCACCTCCACTACCTGCTGCTCCAGGTATGTAGTATTTCTGGAAGTAATTGAAGAGTTGTTCATCTGCGGTATATATGTATTATTGATTTCAATGCACGACAACACCCATGTGCTACAGTCCTCTGACCATAGTAAAATTTCATGTAAACATGTAATTGTCGCATCTGTTTTTGACACATGCTGCAATGTCTGCTTTAAAAATGTTAACTGTAAAGTTTAAGTTAATATTATAGATGTTCTTGAATGTTTTTTTTCACCAGATTTGCTTGCAAAGCTTGGTCTTGACTTGGTAGCTATCAATGACCAACTGGAGAAAGAAAACCTAGAAGGAGAAGCTTTGGTGAGAAGGGAAAAAGAAATTGAAGAGTTCAAAGAGATTTGCCAGAGAGAACTAGTCATGAGATCTAGAGTTCTGATGCGAAGTATGGAAGGGGAGGAATCTGTAAAAAGACTCTGCCTTTACCATGGCCATGCATATCTTAGAGACTTTAAGGTAGCCACAATGACCCTCCATTTGGGATTCCCCAACTTCTTCTCACTTCTACAGTTCAAAGGGAAGTGTAGGATGCAAAAGTTTGCCAGGGACTTGGAGCCTAAATTTGTCACATATGCCATGAAGCTTGAAGCAGAACGCTTGAATTTGCCACTCAAACTCCGTGTATCATACGTATTTGAAGAATGCAGAGCAATTGAAGGCTTCTTCACTAGAAGTAAGTATAACAACACTAAAATGTTTTGTGCTAATCTTTGTAAATACTGTTAATGCATTAATCATTCACTAGGTTTTAATTTCACTGATAAGTAGAATTCACTTAATTAAATCCATTTCAATTACAGTAGAACTTTAAGTGGAAATTTTGTGAAAATGAATGCTTATATAGTCTCCCTCCCACTATCATTATGTACTACCTTAGGATTATACAAATAAGCAGCCCTTATTTCATGTAGTCTCATTCAGCAGTATATATACTGGATTCATTATCATGTATCGTATTTATCTGTGTACGCTCCCACGGTCCTGAACATGGAAAATTGCCAAAAAATAGGGGCAGGGGTTTGCCCGGACATGCCCCTGCCATACGTGGCTCTCCGTACGCTGTAATATTTGCATGAATTGTTTCTAAGGAAACACAAACCAAACGACCCTTTTCAGGGCCACGACGTACTTCAAAAAGAGAACTACCGTAAAATTCCCAATTGAGGCCGCAGCTTTAATTAAAATTCAGTTTTTCAATGGACGAATTCAGATGCGTGAAGTCTTGGTGCGGCTTTAATTAGAGCATGCACTTCAGTAACAGTGGGAAATTTTGTAAAAAAAACAAAGGCCAGAAGGGATAATGATATGCTAATGAGATGCACGACACTCGATTGCAACTTTGTTGCCATTCTAAGCGCATTTTTGGATTAACACACAGACGAACTTGTACACAAACAAAATTTCACACTGTATAGCATACTGTATGCATTTGCAGATTACGGTACTGTATACTACAATCTCCTGAATAGACTAATTCGTTAGCACCGGTATAGGTCACAACTGAAAGACAGCCGTCTGACACAGTCGATTGTGTTTGACTACTGGCATGTTCGATTTCGGCAGAGTGATTGTACATTCAATGTTTAATTTAGACATCGGGGAAATTAAATTAAAAAAATAAAAAAAGTCAATAAAAAAAAAATGTTCACATGATAAAAAAAAATACTAAAAAATATTGTTTAATGTAATGTAATTTATTTTCTTATTTTTTTTGATAACGAAAATTATATTCTAAAAGAAGTAAAAACAAAAACGAATGCATTCTTAGTAGCAAATGATCATGGTAACTGTCATGCTGCGTTTCACACAAGTGAATAACTTACTTGTTTTCGAAGTGTTACAATTGCTGATTATTACTCAGTAGTGATTACAATAACGTACAAAAAATAAATTTGTTGAATTGTTGTGAAAATTCAACTTAGTTTCACCGCAAGCGAATGATTTCGGTCACATATAAATGCTCGATCCGATACAATATCCGCCATGTTTGTTAAAACATCTTTAGTGACTTTTTTTTGACCTGATAGGTCAAGTCGCTAATTAACCAATCGAAACGCTGGATGGTGCCAACTTGATTAAATTACCATAGCTCATTCAAATATGTCAATGTAGTTCAGCATCCTCATGGTAAACGAAACACTGAAGAGATTTACCGTTGTTGTAGTGCGATCGTTTGGCTTTGATTTTGATGATTTTTTTTTAAATCAAGAAATTAGTTGTTTTCGAAAGATAAGCTGAGCATTGAAAAAGAATTTAACACTTTTGACGATAATAACAGCTCATTGTCGAAACGCAGTTTACCTATTCACGCTACCCCACAATAAACCTGTACTCTGGAATAATCGTCAATGACTATGGATAACCTAAATTAGACTAATCTAAGCGTCAGGAATCATTGAAATGTTCGAAAAATTATGCCTTAATTTAAAATTAAATGGTATATCTTTTTCTGAAATATGTGATGGTTGTTTGGTTCGTGAAAGTTTGACGTGCGGCTTATATTGCAGGCTTTTTCCTCGGATCAAAACTTGTCAATTTCAATATGAAACAATGTCTCAAGTTAGGGGTAGGGGGTGCGCGTTTGCTTGGGCATGGGCGCTTACCCAGATAAATACGATATACCATTGCCTAGATGCCTCAAAAATTCAGCAGATTTTACTTTTCAGAGAAAATAGTAAAATTAAAACCCTGTGAATAATGAATTTACAGTATTTTTGAAGGGAAACAGGACATTAATATAGTGAATCGCTTCAAAGGCTTTACAAATTTTTTACTGTCACTGCCATATTGTTTTAAACCCCAAAACAGCTAAGTTGCTGACTGGTCTTATGATCATTGCATGATTATAACTGGTTATATCAACTGGTTTACAGGGGTGTGCCATTCATATAAATGCGTGCATTCACTATCTTTACACTGCACACTAGACACACCGGCAACTGATATGTGACACAACTTGTGAGACTGCCTCAGTACAATACAACGATCGTTTGACCCAATGATCTCCAGACATGCATGGCAAACCAGTCTACTTGGCTGGCAATATTGGTGTTTTGAGCAATATTAATTACAGTAATCAAAATGTCTGCAATTAGTTTGTATCATTTGTTTTGACTGCTTTATCTGCAGGGGATGGTGGAGGTGGTCGGTTTTTTGAAAAGGATACAAAAAGTGATGACTCTGACAAAGATGATTCAGATTCAGATGATGAGCCACTCACACTGACTGAAGAAGAAAAACTATTATTGGCAGCAGATTCTGATGATGACAGTGAAGAAAACAGTACTGTGAAAGTAACAAATAAGAGCATAGATAAGGATGATGGGTCTGCAGGTAAAGATGAACAAAAAGAAGCTGGAGCATCAGTTTCAGTAGCAGAACCCTCACGAACGGATTTTTCAGCAGATGGTGACTCGGTAGATTCAGGTGTGGAAGGAATGGAGGTGGATGACCTCGCGTTGCAATCCCCTGAAACCTCACCTTCTGTAAAAGAGTTGAATGAACAGGTAGATATGGAAGTAGATTATTCTTCCACTGAATCAACAAAAAGTTGTACGAAGTCTGAAACTAAATGTCTGCCGCTGGCTACTAAAGATCATCTACCAGTAAGTTGTACTCTTGGCCAGGACTTACAGTTATCAACACCACAAGCTTCAACTAGTCAGAAAAATGAGGTTAAGAAGGAATTATCATGTTCAGATGCTAAACTGCATTCCAATTCTTCTGATGAATCGTACAACCTTTCAATTCCACTTGCATCATCAATGTGTGAGCAACCTCTGGGTTCTAACAAGACATCAACAAGTATATGCAAAAAAACAGAAAAAACTTCTTTGAGTGCTGATACTGAACACAATCCAGTTGCGTCAACAAGTACTTGCAAGGAACCACAAAAGTCATTAGAATCTTATAATGATGAACTCTTAAATCCAGTCGCATCAACAAGCACTGGTAGAGAAACTGAAGAAGTGACAACAGATAGTGAACTTCTCAATTCTGACAATGACATACTCGTGAATCAAGTTGGATCAATAAGCTCGGACAAAGATACTGAAGAACTGACAGAAACAGGTAGTGAACCTTTCAATTCTGCAGTGTCAACAAGCTTAGAACCACAACAGTCAACATCTTCTGACATCAAGATACTGATGAATCCAGCTGCATCAACGAGCACTGGCAAAGAAACTGCATCACCACGAACACATGGTGAATTCGATGATCCAGTTGGATCAACAAGTACTTCTAAGGAGCTGCAACTATCAACATCTTCTGATGACAAACTCTCAAATCCAATTGCATCAACAAGCTCTAGTGAAGATACTGAAGAATTGACAACAGATCTTCTAAATCCTGTGGCATCAACAAGCAAAGAACCACAACAATTATCCACTTCTGATGATGAACTGATTAATCCAGTGGCATCTACAAGCACTGGTAAAGAAACAGTATCATCACAAACACTCGAGGAATGCCAAGATCCAGTTGCATCAACAAGTACTTGCAAAGAACACCAGTCCTCTCCTGGATCAATGCTTTCAAATGATGATCTACTGAACCCAGTAGCATCAACAAGTTCCGTCGATGAACCTGGTCCAGCCCTACCAATAATACCAGTTAGAATACCTATTAATCCCAGCATAGCTGAGGTTGCAATGCGTCTGAATCCTGCCAGGCCAGAGGAACCAAAAGAGTCAAAAGAAGCAATAAAAATGATCTCTCAGCTAGTTCCAGTGAATTATCCATTGCTCTATGAGAAGGCAACTCAGCTGAGGGCAGAAATACTCAGAATTGAGAACAACATGACCACCAATCAGCCAAATGACGACGGAGAACAGGAAATGCATGGCCAGGTCAAGATGCTGATTGATCGCATTGACAAATTGAGGTCTGAGATAATGGAAGCTCATTCATTGTCAACCACTTCAACGCATGTCACTAAAAACAACAGCATATTAGACTTTGAACTTCAAAATGTTCAGAATGAATTTTTCAAGAAAAGGGAGCAATTTGAAGAGGTCTAACAATTTGAATTTTAAAGTACAGAAATCTCCAGCCTAAAATTGGTGCTCCAATTTGATGTAGATTAAATGGAAAAGTGTATGTGTATTATAATTTAGAATTGTATGCGCATGTTGTATATCTGGTTAAGAAATCACAATTTATAAATATGCATTGGCTAAAGGAGAAATTCCCTTTTATTTCTAACCAGGTTTAGTGCTAACATTAATTACTAGTACCAGGTATTTTGACTTGCTTTTTTTGGTATGTAAAAACATGCATTTGAATTGTGTGTAAATAGCAACCCATAGACCAATATGCATATATGTTGCTGTGTGTCATGTAAGAACATTGAATGTGTGATATTTGATCACAATTGTCCATCAATAACACAAGTAACATGTTTTTGAATTTTGTAATGTACTAAAACGTGATCAACAAGCTAAACTTATTATTCCATCAAGGTATGCGTATGATTTTATCTTGGCAAGTCATGATATTATACTGTGATGTACATCATAGTATTTGTATAGTCTGGTGATGTACACTGTAAACAGATTTAATTTTGTTAGAGAAACCATTTTACAAGTCCTGAAACATTTCATTGGTTTCTAAGACGGGGAGTTGCAGTGGTGAAATTTCATTACAAATACACATGTATACAGGTAAATAGAGTTTCTAGTGCCCAAAATGAATGGTGGTAATTACAACTATTAGCACCTGTTTAACTACTGTGATACTTATTAATATGGCATTTGTATAATAATATGAGGTTATTACGAGAATACCTCATACACAAAGACAGTACAGCTTGAGTATTGACCGACACGTAGCGGAGGTTGATGCGCGGGCGTACTGTCTGAGTGCATACTTTGAGGTATTCTCGCAATAACCTTATTGTACATCTTTTCCTTCCAAGGATACATCATGGGAATTCCAAATTTCAAAATGTTTAGAACAGAATCAGCGAACTTCTTCATGTTGAATCCGGTCAAACTCTGGTGGCAGCCATGTTTGTTTTTATTATTAGAGGGTGTGTAATCATTCCATATTTGGAATTTGTATTTCCAAATATGGTAGGATGAAAATACCCCGTAAAATACGTACAGTTACGGATGTAACTTATGGTGTCACAAATGTATAATAATGGTCATTATACCTTTAAATTATAACTATCTTATAAATTGTTAATGCTCATTAATGAAACATTCAACTAACTTGTTTTTGTATGCGTTTTTGTAAAATTTATTTGATATTCATGGAATACAACAATATATAGAATTGTATATGAAGCAGTGTTGAAATTCAAGGATGTGTAAAAGGAATTGCCTTTTTATTTTTGTGGATAAGCAGTATTAATATCTTATAAAAAAAAAATTCATTGTCGTGCAGAAGAGTAAAGGGGGACTGATTTTTGAAAAAAGTTTTTCTGGGTGGTGGGTCATACTTCATAAACATTTCTGCTTTTTGTTCATTGAAACAACTCTGTTACCAGTTCTTTATTTAACTTTTTTTTTATAAACAAATGACCCCTCAACATGCGACAATTGACCTTGTATTAATTTTGTTTCCAAATTCAATACATTTACATTCAAAACAAAAATGTAGTACTTTAATAATAAAAATAAGTTTGTGCTTCATCCCACCTGTGTTTTACATATATTTAGTTTGACCTCCACCCAAATAAATTAGTAGAGATATTCATTATTTGTTTGTGCCCTGCAAGGAGACTTCTTCATTTGTAGTAAATGCTTTCTTTTTTGTCGACTTTCAACTTGAAGATTTATATAATGAGCATTTACAATAAATATTGCTTGTATGATTACAAGCTTGCATTTGTATAACAGTAACTACTAAATAAATGCTTGAATAATTGTAAATTATAATGTGTTTGATTTTAAGGCAAAATCTTTTGGACTACTTTGCAGTCGGGCAGACATAACTAATTGATAAACTGGGGACTGTAATAAAACAGTTCAGGATTAATTTTTAGCTCTGCTGTTGACTTTGTTGAGCAGAGCTTATCATACGAGTTATTGTCAGTCGTCGTTCCTGTCAACTTTTTACTTTTTCGACTCCTTCTTGGGTAGATCTCTTAGATTTGTTCATTTCATGATATTTTCAATTCTCTAATTTTGGTGAATATTTGTAATTTTGGGTAAAAAGTGATATTTTCGACTTCTTAAAAACCAAAATTCCAAATGCTTTGATATTACATATATAGGTACTACATGTGGACCTCTCTCAGATTAGTTCATTTTGTAATGATATCGTTAATTATCTAATTTTGGTGAATATTTTTGTAATTTTGGGTAAAAAGTGTTATTTTCGACTTCTTGTTGAAAACCCCAAGTCCAAATGCTTTGATATTATATGTATAGGTACAGTACTACATGTGGACCTCCCTCAGACTTGTTCATTTTGTGATATCTTCGATTCTCTAATTTTAGTGAATATTTTTGTAATTTTTGGTGAAAAGTGATATTTTCGAATTCTTGTTAAAAAAAAACAAGTCAGATTGCTTTGATACTATACATATTGTTCATTTTCTAATGATATCTTCAGTTTTTTAGTTTAAATATGCATTGCTAACAGTGTAGCTATCTCAGCCGACAGGCTGCTTGTTTTGTACTACTCGTAACGCATTAGGTTAGATTGGAAATTGAAAGTGTTCAAAATGTGAATATTAGCACAATTACTCATTTGTGTATGGTTTTTCCTTCAAGAGCAATCCCATGTGATCCGATCAAACCACCATTTTGGATTTCAAGATAGCCTTCCCTCAACAAGGCAAAGGAAGTACTGTAAAATGATTAATTTTCACTGGGTTTTAATTTCTCTGATTTAGCATTTCAGGCATATTCATTGGCTTTTTTAAATTCACGGTTTGAATAACTTGCAGGTGGCTGTAAAACATGTTTATGTGTTGTCAGTTCAAAGCTCACAACAGAATATGCATTATTCTATCATAGTTGTGAAGAAACAATGTGGCTATAAACTTTGCACAAAATATATTCTTTTCATTTTCACATAATCAACTGTTTACCTCAGAATGTCAATATTAGATTAAATAATTGATATTGAAATTGCCCTTAAAACAAACAAGGCTGTATGGCATAAACATGGTTTCCCTTCTACATCAAGGATATGCTATGTCATAGCTTTGTGGTACAAAAATCAGAATGTCATCTCCAATATGGCCATTGATCAGGCCATAGTCCCTCTATCCCGGTCTTGAAACTAATTGTCTAAGGTGTGAATTACCTGCTGTGCTCCGACTGTGCTGGGTATGGCTTTTCGTGAAGCATAGCCTCTTGATAGCAGAGCATTCTATTGAAACGATCGATTCATTGTTCCCTTCATATTACAACCGAAAAAAACCCATATGTTTTTATACTTAATATACAAACCCAACACAATTCTTTAGCCGTCAAGTTTTCCATAGTGGCATACAGACATTATTATTCGTGAATATCGCACTTAAATTTGAGGTACTCTGTCTGGGATCGCAACTTCTAACAACATTGATTGGTTGGCCCCTTTTATTCATCATGTGTTTTAGAAAGCTCATTGTTTTTTCGTTTATTGTATAGCTTAAACCTAGTTGTAGTTGGCAGATTGGTTTATTTTGCTTGATTTGTTATATTATATACAGTATACGCATCATATTTAGGCATCACTTTTTCCGTTAAAAATAAGATGGCCTCTTGTCGATTCGTTGCCATTTGAATTTGTGTGTCATTATTTTTGTTTCCAATCATACATTTGGAATGTAGTTTACAATGCTGGTGACATGTGAACAACATCCTGCAGTATCAATTCTTTAGCACAGCCAGAAATTTAGTAGGCAGTAGGTTTTTTTTCCCCGATGAGAAGTGATTTGCGGGCGCAATTTTGTTTCTGATTTACTGAACTAACTTGACACGTTGTCAGTGGGTTGGCTCCTTTTATAGTAAGAAAACTGCATTCAACCATAATATTTTTTTCAATGTGAATAGATATGTACATTTCTCTTGGATGTTTGTATTTTGATAAATCACGGTATTATGTTCTGTTCTGCGTGCAGTTTGTGATTGCAATGCTTAAGTTTGTGTACGCTCAGCTTCGTGGCTAATTATCAAGGTGTGAACGGTTTATTTGCCCTCAACCAGCCTTGGGATAATAGACTGAAGTGTTTCCAGACCGGGGATAGAGGGATTGTGATCAGGCCAATGAATAAATTAACATTTCAGAGGTGGAGGTGGTATTGGAATTGCATACAATGCTTCTGCCCTAATAAAAGGGATCATAGCTGGGCCAGAAGTTGTATCAGCAAAGACTTTAAAAGCTCAATTCACTCTGTTCAAATACCCACCATAGGCTCCGGTCTGTCAACATGACTATTTTGAACTCTAGGCATTAATCTGCGATTCAGCCAATGAGGGAGAGAGAAATCTTGGTAAGGGGAAGCCCGATGACCTCAAGATTTTCCTTCATGTCACGAACCACGTGACCGAGGCGCCACCATATTGCCTTTATCCTCACTCTAGTTTTTTCCCCGCCGGAGTGGGTGGCTCGATAAAAACGGTGCGATCAGTCATCCAGATTGTTTTTCCTGTTCGAGTTTTTTGTCTGACTTGCTGTTACCTGCGTGGCAGCAGACACTGGCTGGTAGGATGGTCTTTCTTATTATTTACCCCCCTGTCACATTTTTGTGTGCTTTGCTTATAAGAAAGAAAAAACTCTGGTGACGCAATTAGGCCACGTTGTTGGTTCTCTTTAACTGTAATTCGTTTCTCTCATGCATGTCTTGTTCATTTTTACCAATTTGTTTATAGAAATGGATAGCAAGAAAAGGTAACCTCCTTTTCTTTTCGTCACCCCAAAGATCGGGGCAATTGTATGGTAGTTGCCACCAGGAATTACCAGCTTACAACCCACATAGCAATGCTGTTTGTATTTCGACTGTGTGCGGGGCTCATGGTTTTGCCTAGAGATTTTTTGTAACAATTGGGGCTCTGAGGCCTGGGATGCGTTCCAAGTCTGCATGCAAATTACCGAGACTGAGCACGTCGCTTGGGTTTGCAGCAGTCACATGTACAGTAATGTAAGTGTGAATGAGTGGAGTCTACCGATGGCTCATGTACTGCGGTGACGAGTGAGAGGCCCGACAGTGAAGGTCCAGAGATTTCTGGGGAGGGGCTGCTGATCAGAGGGCTTCTTCGCAGTCTGCTTTTGCAGGTGGCGGTTTGCCCGATCATACCTGCAATGGGGAGGCTGTGCCTCTGGATGTTTTAACTCCTATGGGGCCTGTTGCGGATCACTCTGTGGATCCACTCTTGCACGGTGCCGGGTTTGCCTGTGAGACTCAGGCTTTGGTTGTGAACCTGCAGGGGCAAATTGCGTCCCTTATAGGTCGGGTAGACCAAATGCAGTTGACCCTGCATTCACATGCAGGATGCTTCTTTCTGGGATGTTCAAACCCCCCTCCAATCCCCAATCCGGAAGCAGTCACTCATGGTAGGGCTGTCACTTCTGGGATCCAGATGGCGGGATCCAAAGCAATACCGACTTCATGGCTCTCCTGGTCTGGCAGAGTGCTGGACATAGGGGGAACACACAAACTGTGTTGATGGGCGGACCTTGGTCCTCTACGAATGAGTGGCCTAAGTCCTTAGGGTGGGGCATTTTATGCTCAACGCTTTCTGCTTGACCAAGTGCTACCTGATCGAGCGGTGTTTGAGACCAGGGCCAGCAGAGTCTGGAATCAAATCTCACGTTCAGGCCAGATCCTTTGGTTTCTCCCGACCCCCAGTACCACAATTTTTGACTCCCGTGTGCAAAGCACAAAAAGGGAGTCTTTGCAGTTAGTGTGTCTGTATGTGTGTGTGGGCGTGTGTGTGTGTGTGTGTGTATATGTGTGTCCGTCTGTTCCACTGATATCTCAAGAACCATACATCAGTTTTTGATGAAACTTGGTGCATAGATGCTCTGGGCATGCGCAGATTTGATTAGGTTTTGGTAAAAATCCATGCATATTAATTACCTAATTTGCATGATAATTAGCTGATTTTTAGCTGTTCCATGACTGTTCCACTGATATCTAAAGAACCACTCTTTGGATTTTGATGAAACTTGGCACACAGATGCTCCAAACTAATGCGCAGATTTGATTAGTTTTGGGTAAAAATCTGTGCAATATTAATTACCTAATTTGCATAATGATTAATCAATTTTCGGCTTTTCCACTGATATCTCAAGTAGTAATCATCACATTTCAATGAAACTTGGTACATAGATGTCATAGGACACTGCACAAACCTGATAGTTTTTAGGATAATATCAGTATATATTAATTAGCTAATTTGCATAATTAA